CTAAATTGCACCTTCTGCCTGTTTTTAAAGATACAAGATAAAAAAATCTATAAAAAAAATAATACAGAAAGTTGTCCTAAATTTCAACGCTAATTACTCATCTGTCTGGCGGGAATAGAGCGGCTATTAATTGAAAAAAAAAAAATCTATTTTAATTTTCTTTTTCTTATATGTTAATGACAACAGACTGAAGCTGACGCATTCCGGTTTCTACACCTAGCGACCGCCGACCTACGCAGCCTTACCGCCCTTCCCTATCCGGTAAATCCTTTCATTTTATCTTCCAAGATCCTTGTTTAATTTCTTCCCTCCTTCCTCCAATATCTGAATTTCGAGTTGGTTAGGGTTTCCTTTTGGAATTCAGGGAGTTGAATAATGGATTCCAGAAATGGATTAACAATACCGGACGACCAAATCCAATCCTTCTTTGATTCGGCACCTCCTCTCAAAGATCGAGCTGAAATCAGAGAAAGTTTAATTCGATTCATTGAGTTCAATTCTCAATCTTCAGGCAAGATCTCGTTACAATTAAGTAGCAGACGTTGTTTTGATGCGTATCACATTTTGCTGATTTGAGTTCCAGTTTGCAGGAGTGAGGAGGGTTGTGTGTGTGACATCAGGCGGAACCACTGTTCCTCTGGAGCAGCGGTGCGTTCGGTACATTGATAATTTCAGCTCAGGCAGTAGAGGAGCAGCATCTACGGAGTATGCTAGACCAACTTAGTTGTTGTTAATATGGAGTACTCTTTAATCTTTTGACTGTAATTTGATCAGGGGTGTTTTGATTTTGGTTGTCTGCAGGTATTTTGTGAAGGCTGGATATGCAGTTATATTTTTGTATCGAAGGTGATTTACTTATTTCTAGATCCTATTGGGTTTTTTCACTTGCTTACATATGTTATGTTCTTTATGTATTTGGATGCTGTATGGGTTAATCACTGCAGGGGTAGCTGCCAACCGTATTGTCGGGCGCTTCCTAATGATCCATTGCTGGAATGCTTTGAGGTCACAGATGAGTCTCATATTCAGGGTTTGTAGTTTCTAATGACCCCAAGCTCGATTACTAGAATGTTTCTCTTGCTGGCTGCATCTTGAGATACGCCCTCAATTCTTATCATCTATTCTAATTACACCTGCTTCGTATATGATATTCTTAAGTAACTATCTCAATTTTGCCTTGGGGAATGTTCATATACATTACATGGGGAACATGTAGTTTTCATAAAAAAATTTGAGGATATATGTGGAGGGCAGGGCGGAGTCTTCGTTTCTTCCTCTTCATGCTGGCTTTGTGATGTTGTTGATACGTCAATTGGAATGAAATTGGTGTTTCCTACTAAGGTTACTGCATTATGTCCAATTTTTCAGTGCGGGAATCACATTCTGAAGTGGTGAAGGGAGCTATTAGAGACCATCATGCTGTATGAACTCTTGATATTACTAATTTTTTGATCTCTTGATTGTCATGGTTGCTTCACCAAAATAACCTTTAATTGTTGTCCCTACCTAGTTTTTGACTCTAGTTCATGATGTGTTGTTATTTTTTGTAACAATTGGCCTCTTGTGGTTTCACTTTATTGCAGGCAGTAACTGGAGGTCACCTTTTAAAACTGCCCTTTACAACCATATTTGAATATCTTCAGGTTAGGTCCTGAAAACTCTAGAACCTGCTCTGTTATGTTCAAAGTGGTGATGATCTCCATGTGGGAATATCTATTTTGACATCTTTGGATCAAGTATTTTACTCCTTTATTCTTTTTTGACATTAAGAATTGCTTTTCGTATGTAAGCTACTTATTGAAGGAGGAAAGGTTTGGTTTTGTTTATTAGACGTTTGGACCGTTTTATGTTTGTTAAATTTTATCAGCTATGGTTTCAATTTCCATGGGTCAGCTATCTTTTGCTTGGGCCAACCCTCTCATATTAGGTTGATAGCTATGGCAGTGACAGATGTTTAGTCAATAAAAACATGTGCTTTGTGTTAATGTTCTAGACAAGTCTATTGTACAATTTCTGTAACTCTAGCATTGCGATTTTGCAAATCTCTTTTATTCCAAATCTTTCAATGGAGGGACAGAGTGGTTTTAAATTTTCTGTGTCTTGATTTTTCAGTTCAAACCATGAAAACTAGATTAATTGTTCTTGTCAGAGCAGATGTTACAGATGATTGCAATATCAATGAAGAGGCTTGGCCCTCATGCCATGTTTTATCTTGCGGCTGCTGTCTCTGACTTCTATGTTCCATGGAAGAGCATGGTAACGGTCTTGGCTTCTGTGAATTACAAATTATCTTTTATCTACATCTCATGTTTGGCATTAAACAAGCCTGTTTAATTGCACAGGCAGAGCACAAGATCCAATCAGGCTCTGGCCCCTTGGATATGAGACTTATGCAGGTTCCAAAGATGATCTCAGTTCTGAGGAAGGAATGGGCTCCCATGGCCTTCTGCATATCATTCAAGGTTAAACGTTATGACTAACTTTAATGTTTACAGCAGAAGCTAGGATAGATTAAAAAGTAGTTATTAAATGAAAAGATATATTGGACATACCATGATTTAATTGATTAATAACTTTATAAAATTACATGTCTTAAACAATACTCAACAGACACCTGATTTTAATGTTCCTATTTATACTTGGTTGAATAAATCTTGAAGATTTGAGAGAGATCAGGTTTCTGTTGTACTTGTTACTGCCTACAAAGTTTGATGTTAAGAAGTTATAAAAAAGAGAGTTTAGGTTATGATCTTGTTATTACACTTCAAAACAGGGATTTATTTGGTATTTGGCTCTGAATTTTTTTCTGCTGCCTTCCTCATCAGCTTGAGACAGATCCAAAGATTCTTGTAGATAAAGCTAGCATGGCTCTTAAAAAGTACCAAGTGCATGCAGTTGTTGCAAATGAGCTGTTGACCAGGAAAGATGAGGTTATAGTGGTCACAAGTAATGGCAATATATCCGTTCGCCGAGACAAGTCTCAGGCTAGTACTGATGTTGAAAATCCTCTGGTTGAACTCCTTGTGGGCAGACACTCAGCGTACATCAAGGATTCAGATACATAATAGTTCGGCCAAAAAAGGTTCAAAGCAAGAGATAGGTGATACACTCGTGACTCAACACAGCTTTCAAAATAACATTTATATGCTTTTAGTTTCTTCATTTGGCTAAAACATCTGTTTGCATTGCTGTAATTTCCCTTTCTTTAGTTTACTGATATTAACTTTGTAAGTGATGTTATTTGACATTCACATGTCCTGAAAGAGGATTAGAGATATTTGATTCCAGAAAGTAATTCATTACTTCAGCATTCTGTCTGCTTAACCTGACTCTGGACTCTGTTTCTGTTCCTTTTCTGTTGAAAGAAATGAGTTTTTTTTTTTTCTTGTTTCTTTTTTTTTTTTTTTAA